TGTTCTCTGTCGGATGTTCTCACTGTCTTATGGATGAAGCCTTTTGATTTCAAGCATACTTTAACCCAAAAATATAAATTCACAACCTCAACTTCTCAAGTATATATAAATTCATAACCTCCTCAACTTCTCAAGCATTCACAACCTAAAGAAAATTAAAGTTACAATTCCAAGTATTCCAATTGAAGTTAAACTTCCTAAGCATTTACAACCTCAACTTCTCAAGTATTCCAATTCCAAATCCTTTAAAGTTACAAACCAAAAGGAAAATGCAATGCAAAATGAATTAAAGTTACAACCCAAAGGAAAAATCCAATTCAAAGTTAATTAAAGTTACAAACTAAAAGGAAAATGCAATGTACCAATGTTACAAATTAAAGTTACAAACTCAAGTGTTGATGGTGGTGAGTGGATTTGAAGGACCCCGTTGTGTTGTTTGAGCACCAATACTATCTACAAAATGAATTTTTTTATTATTTATAAATATAGTCGCGGTTTGTGGTAACCGCAAGTTTTGAAAATCAAATACCGCAAATGTGGTTTGGTTCTTCATACCGCAAATGTGGTTTGGTTTCCCGCGATTGCTGTAAATTATCGGTTGGTTTTTACGATTTTTCGGTCTAAAATGCCACCCCTACTTACCAGTATGTTTATGTAGAGAACAATCATGTGAATTTCCATTTCATGTTTAAATTATCATAGGACACCGCCCTTTCGTACTTTCAAAATTAAAATTAAAATGACGTTTTTTTTGTTTTTTTTTGTTTTTTTTGTTTTTTGTTTTTTTGGCTTTTTAAATTTATGTCCTTTACTAAGATGCTGTGTACATTCACTTTTTATTTAACATCATTTAATTTTTTATATAAAAAAAATTTACTTTAAAATACTATATTTTAATTATTGATCACTAAATCCTTTTATTTTTTGTCAAATTGATCACTAAATCATTGAAAAAATTAGTTGCATGACGCGAACAAGGCTTGCGAGCACCTTTGTGCTCCTTTTTCATTTTTACAAATAAGCCCATTTTAGTATGACATATTATACAAATGTCCAAAGTCCTTGAAAATTTAAACTTGAAGTTGATTTTACAGTCAATTCATTAATTAAATTCAACAAATAACCAATTTCTGTTACTAATGATTTTCTATCATTTATAGAGCTTATTTGGAGAGAAAAACCAAAAACTAGTCACTTGTTATTTTCTAATTGGTTCTTAGAAAACTTTAATGCACTAAGAACGAATTAGAAAATGACAAGTGGCTAGTTTTGGGTATTTCTCTCCAAATAGGCTCTATAAGGGTATTTGTAAGAGCATCTCCAAGGGAGATGTCAAAAACCAAACGTCAAATTTAAATTTGATGGCTGATGTGGCATTTTGACATTTACACAGTTTTACACTCCACCCGATATGTCAAATAAATAATTATTGTAACAGTCAAATCATTTAAGACAAAGAAGAAGAAAAAAGAAAAAAAGAAAAAAAGAATTGAAAGTAATAGCTAGCTGTCTTTAAAAAATAATAAAATATTCATTTGACATCTTGCTTTTGGGATGTCAAAAATAACATCTCAACCTCCAGCCTTCATTCCACATCAGCTTTGACACATCGGTTGGAGTGATGTGAGATGTTATTTCTAGCTGTTAAATGTCTATGTGGCACTTTTGACATATCGGTTGGAGATGCTCTAATATGTCATATTAGAATGAGCCTATTTATGAAAAGCCCTTCAAATAATTCTTCATATATTCTATCATAAAAATAAAAATAATTTCATATTAGTAGTCCCTCGCACACCTTCCACATGTTGCCTTTTCTTGTAGTTTTCAACATTAGAGGTGATTGGTGTTTTGCTTAATTATTTCATTTTCTCAATTTATCTCTTTATATATATAATTTTTTTCCTCTAGAATTTTTTCATTACAGATATCTGTTAGTACTTTTAAAGTTTCACTAGGTACAATACTTGTTTTATTGTATTTTAACACAAAACATTACGGATTTTGAGAAACTATTTGTCCAAGGGAATCATCAATTCCAGAAGCGCTCTTGATTGATTTTACTATAGTTTTTCCTTAGGCACATTTTTATTGTTTATAATTCTAACTTTTGTATTCTTCTTTTACTTTATGTTAAGATTTCAAAGGGACGGACCTTTGGCACACTACTAGCAACATTTATATTGTCCCCAACTTAATCACCTGTTAAGCAGGTGTGAGGTTTTATACAAAATGCCTCGATATTATTAGGAGTGTAGCCATTCATGATATGAGACTTTCTATTTTGTTAAGTTTCCGATGTGGGGCTCTGTGTATTCTTCAACACTTTGTAACTCAATAATTCAAAACTCGTAATTGACGTGTTGTTTTATTCTCTTGATTCATCTTTTCAAATCTCCAAAAGCATCATAATCTATATCAATGTGGTAAATTGAGAACTGAACAACTACATTAAATGTGATTTGAGTGTTAAAGCCCTACTGAACCAACTTGTCAGTAAAGGACCATGCTGAAGCTAGTTCTCACCGTCGACGCAAGGATCAAAGCACTAGAGTTCACCAGCTCACCCTTAAAAAGAGGATTGATAGCAAACTCAGCCATCTCATCATCCAACGTACAGATTCAAACACAAAGAAGGCTATATACACTAGCAAGTTGGAAGAGCACGAACACACAATTTCTCGAAGAAAAAGACTTTAAACTCGATCAACACTTGATCTCATTGAATTCAAATGCATTTATCTTGTATTAAGATTTCCAATTGACAACTTATGAGATATCTTTTAATAATTGCTCTGTCAACACTTGGTATGATTCCTAATTGCTAGGCTAGTCTCTTTAAATTCATTAGTTCATCTTTAATCTTTCTGTATTGGGCTAAATAGAGAAATCTTCAATTCCAAGTTGTATTTTCACTCATTTTAAACTTATAAACAATTTGTTTATCTTCATTCACCTTGCGAGACCCAAATTAGGCAACTCTAACAATACCTACTTACATTGGAGAACTTGCTCGATTCAGGGCCAACTTCCTAGATTTAGGATCTTGATATTTGATTTGCATTTTTTCTGCAATAAACATTTTGATTCCAGCACATAAAATAGAATATTGAAGTCCTTAGTCATACACGACATTAAAAAAAGAACTAATATGAGTCAGTGCCCAACTTGGAGCACAATGACGTGATTAGAAGTTAAGAAATTAAGGGAAAATTCATCTTACATATTTCAAACAACATATCAAACAAACATCTTTCTATTGGGCTTAGCCAAGCCAAACACCAATAGTGGTACACCTATTCATTAAGCTACCGCCCAGACTATAATAAGGGGTAAGTTATAAATGGTTCACTTTATAGCCATCAGATCAATCCAAGGGCTGGGGAGAATTGAGATAAAGTTTTACAATCGGGTAGGTGAGGAACCCAAACCCGAATTTAATATCCAGCAGGTCCCCAAAAAAAGAAGAAGAGGCAAGTTCGAAGTTTGAACAGAAAAAACCCATCGCTCTAAAACCCATAGCTCTGAGGAACCGCTAAGCTCTGAGAAACGGTTGAAGGCAATGGTTGAACGACATTCCGTTCTCCAAACCCTGAAAATGTATTTATTTTGAGTGGAAGAGGCAAAGGTGTGGATTCCGAAACAGTGAAGGGGCGAAACAGTGGAAGGGGAAGGAGAGAAGCCGTATTCGTTAGAAGTGATAGGTTCCATTTGTGGAGCAAAGCCGCAAAAAGACCCCGCACAGACACCTTGCAATTGTTCAATAACTAGCATTTGGTGAGTAATTTATGGAATTTGAGTTTAGGGTTAGAGTAACGGTTTTCCCCAATTTGTACTATCAATGTTGTTGGACTTGGCATCTCTTCTTTGTGCTTCACTTGCATGTTAATTTTTGCTTGGGTATATGTTAAAAAATGAACGAAAATCAAGTCAATAAAATATCAATAACATGTCAATAATGACATGAATAAGATAATGGCGTTGAATTGGAGGAGGCTCTCAAATCAAAACCTTCCACATTTGAAGTGTTGCAAGTTACAATTAATTCTAAGACTAGGAATAACCAACTTACAGACTCTTTACATTTGCTAGGAAATAGCCAACTAAAAGTACACTTCAAAAATGAAAATAGATAATAACACACTCATGAATATAAGTGCAAAGCATTTGATGAGTAATTTATGGAATTTGAGTTTAGGGTTAGAGTAATGGTTTTCCCCAATTTGTACCATCAATGTTGTTGGATTTGGTATCTCTTCTTTGTGCTTCACTTGCATGTTAATTTTTGCTTGGGTATATGTTAAAAAACGAATAAAAATCAATTCAATAACATGTCAATAACATATCAATAACATGTTAATAATAATTGTGGCAATGGCTTAGCAAGCAAATAGCAGAGCAGATGCTTTGCTTTGCTTCCTTCCACCATATTTCTTATTTATTTATTTATTTTGTGTTGTGTATGAGATGACAATTATTGTCATGTGAGATGATAATATTTTGTGTTGCAGAACTTGCCTAGATTGCACTCACACTCACTCATGCATCAACCATTGATTGAAGTTTGGATCCATAAATAAAACATATGAAATTGCTGGTAATTCACAGAATCATTGCATTAACAAGTATTTGCAAAAATTTGTCATATTGCTTTGATGATGTTAAAGCCTGTGATCAGTAATCCCTATGCGCATGTACTTTGTAAAATTTGTAATGTGCATGGTTGTCTAATTGTGTAAGTACCAATGTGATTGTGCAAATACGTGGTAGTATATGTGTTCACATTATTTCATCTTGTATTTCAGGAAATGGGATCCAACGTGGAGCTGGTATGGCCAGAGTCAGAGGCATATTCGTCACGGGTGAACAACTGCTCACATGCAAATTCATCCCTAGCTGCAATTCGAGCGAAGTTGAGTGCCGAACAATTAGAACAATTCAAGACATCATGCTTTGGCCATCTTCTGAATATAGATAAGATTCAATTTAGCGGGTAGATTATGCATGGGGTTGTGTTGCGTAGAGTAGCGAGGCAGGGTGTGAAAGACTTGGATGGATTGAGTTTCTTAATAAGGTGCGACGTTGCTCAGTTCACTCGTCAGGATTTCTGTTTGATCGCAAGGCTTCATTTTGGGGAAGTGCCTGAAGTTTTCAGTGAAGAAAGTGATGAAATTAGACTTCAAAAAAGATATTTTATAGACGAAGGAATTACATGTAATTCTTTAGAAGAAGCATTTCTGAGGTGCACAGAGGAAGATGACATCTACAAGCTAGCTCTTGTTTACTTTGCTGAGTTAGTGGTTTTGGGAAGGGACAAACATTTGAACATCAATCTAAATTACCTAACCCATGTAGAGGACTTGGATGCGTTCAATAGCTATCCGTGGGGTTCGGTGTCCTTTGACAAAACCCAAGACAGTCTATTTTTTGCACCAACAAAGTATGTGAAAAGCTTTGAAAATGAAGAGGGAAGAGGGAAGGGAAAAAGTAAGGTAACGGGAACAAGCAGGGGAAATGAGAAGGGCAAGAAGGATAAGCATGGTGAAGTGCAAAGGGGTGGTTGAAGTTTTAAAGGTTTCATGTATACTTTCCAGGTACATGGTAATAATGTTCATGTCAGTTATGTTTTGCGGACTTTAAAACTTAAATAATGACTTTTGTCCTGTGAATTATGTAGATTTGGGTATATGAATTAATTCCTAGAATGGTGGACCTGAATTACTGCAAGATTGTTGATCCGACAGCTCTTCCGCTTATTTTTCAATGGAGACCTACTACGTCTGTTCCCGAGATGAGAAAGTTGAACAATTATTTTTTCTAGAGCAAAGAGGTTTGGTTTGCAGCCTTTGGAACTATTTATAAGATTCAATGAAATTATGAAGTAGAATGATTGAATATGACTCTTGTCTATATTTTGAAACAGTCAGTTCAGTTGCGGGCGCTATGTCCTAGTGAAGAGGAAATGAGACAACCATACTGGAGTTGGCCACAGGATCGCCCTGCTGTCGTCTCGGCAGAGTCAATTCCTTCTTCATGTGCTGACCTTGATGAGTTGAATAAGGTGGTAAGCTTGTTGAGGTCCGAGTTGTTTCAAGTAAAGCGGGAAAATGATGTCCTTGAGTTAAAGGTCATACAGATGGAAAAACTTTTGGACCACTATTTAGGTCCTCAGTTTGAGCAAGAAGTAAGGAGGGACCTAGCTTTACTGAAAGAGAGGATGAATCGTTGTGCCATCTCACATCTATTTAAGGGAAGTGAGGAAATGGATGACATTCGATGGGATGAAGGGCCAAGTAACAGATTTGAGGGAGAGGAAAAGGAAGAGGAGGGGATTGAAGGGGGTGAAGTGCAAAGAAAACCAAGTGAGGTAGAGGAAGCTCAAAGGAAAAGAAGTGAGGGAGAGCAAGTGAAAATAAAAAGCAGTAAGGGAAAGGAAGCGCAAAGAAAGAGCAATGAAGGAGAGGAAGTGAAAAGAAAAAGCAGTGAGGGAGAGGAACTGCAAAGAAAAAGTAGTGAGGGAGAAGATCCTCAAAGAAAAAGAAGGGAGGGCAAGGAAGTGAAAAGACAAAGAAGTGAGGAAAATGAAGTGCAAAGAAACCAATGTGAGAAGGAGGATGATGAATTTATGTTACTTGGCGATGACATTGGCGAGAGCACGGAGGGGACAAAGGTTGAGTTTACTCTTGGGGACATTGATTTGGATCAACCTACAGCTGTGCTATCTCAGTTGAACGTTTGGTTGAATAATGAAGGTAAAGCTGTGGAACAAGGGGTCCAATTATGGAAGAGGAAGAGGATCATTCATAAGTGGAAGATCATTGAAGCTAGTGAATTGGTTCAAAAAAATCTGCCAAAGACAACCCGACTTCGGATGTTAGACCCAATGAAGGCGATTCCGCATGATGATATGGTGAAATTGCTGAAACTTTGTTGGGAATGACGCCATAACCCAAAGTAAGTCCCTTGTTTTTTGAGATAGAAGGCATGAGTGTATATATTTTTTAATTGTTGTGTTCTAAAACTTTTTTATATTCATAGTTTGGTGATGCAATTTGGCAACGTGAAAGCTGAGATTTAATTCTTCGCTTCCCTCATCAAAGCTGACGGTTGGCTGAAAGGAGATGTAAGTTTAATTGATTATGCATTTGTTTTAATGTACATAGATTATGAGATTGACAAGAAAAACATGTGCAACACATTGATTTGGGGTTGTATCTCATCCGGAAGCGACAACAAGAGTTGGAGAAAGTAGAAATATCAGACTGGACAGCGACCGATGTATTTTTTATGGTATGTCATAGGCCTTGACCAAGTGTAGTTAATAATTACAAATTATCCATACTTGCTTTGCGAAGGTGTTTAACCATTGATTGTTTTCTATTTCACATAATCACATCCATACTTGCTTTGCGGATAATAAAAGAAGAAAAAAGCAGGTTGGGTGGAAAATTAGAAACAGTTTATTGAACATTGTAAATGGCAAGGTTCCGGCGTATGAGATGGATTGGTAGAATGCGTATAAGGTGTATGCCCCTTGTATGTTGACGAAGTACAAGCATTGGGTGGCTGTAATGATTGATCTGGTTAACTGTGAAATCAAAGTGTACGATTCAATAGTTTCACTTATTCCAGATGATATCTTAAAGGAAGAATTCTCCCCGCTTTCAATTACGATTCCAAATCTTCTCAACACCATCGACTTTTATGAAGAAGGTGTTTACGCAAACGATTGCAGCCGAGATTGGTGGTGTCTGTGACCAATAGAGCATGTGAATGTTCCTCAACAGTCTAATCAGTGAGCACAACTTTTTATTTAATTTTATTACTTAAAATTGTCAATTACGTTAGAATGTCATTAGTTGAATTGATCGAGTTCTTGATTTGCTTAAGAGGCAATTGTGGCATGCTCGTGTTGAAGTACATTGAGCTTTTGAGCGCTGAGATTCCGTTAGCTACTTGCACCTCGCAGAACATGCCATTTTTTCTGTTGAAGTTGGCTGCATAGATATTATGAGGAGATGCTTACATGGCATGATATTGGTTGAACTTAGTTTAGGAACATTGGCATGATATTGGAACTTGGTTTAGGTACATTGGCATGATATTGGTTGAACTTGGTTTAGGTACGTGATGATTAAATAGGTTTTGGGAATGTCCAATTTCAAACTCATGTAAATACACAATAGAGACCCACGGGTCCTTTTCGAATTCTACCTATGCTCCTCAATTCTTCTTTGTCTTTCTCAATCTTAGTGTATTTTTGTACATAATTTTATGTTTAAGTTATTGGACAATAACAATTAGAACCAAAATAGTGGCAAATATTATAGCGGATGCATGCTTTCATTTC